CGGCGTGGTCCTCGGCCGTGTGCGCGGGGCTCAGTGCGCCGGCACCGTCAGACGCCCCAGGACGAGCGGGGCTGCGGGCAGCGTGGCCGGGCAGAAGAGCTCTGCGCTGCTGCCCCTTCCGTGCAGGTGGCCTTGCAGGCCCAGGATGCCCGGCCGGGCACACGCTGAGATCCCTTTCCCATGCCCCCGCAGGGCCCAGCCAGTCCACCCATCGCAGTGCAGCTGGGCACCCAGCACCTTTCCGCCTCCTCGTTGGGCTCCCCACGCATAAGGGCCGGGCTGGGAACTAGCCCCCTCCAGCCAGCTCTTCGGTGCAGCCTGGCTCCAGTGGCGTTTGAAAGGGGCCGGAGCGCTGGGTGCCACAAGCCCCCCCCCTTTAAATCACCAGGCTCCCAGGCAGCTGCCCCCCCATCCCCGTTGGCTGCCCTGGCCTGCATTGAGCCCAGCGATGGAGACCAGCTGTAGCAAGGAGGCCTGGCCTCCCCTGGAGCTTGCCGGGCAGGGACGGCCGGCTCCCCCAGGGCGACCGGGCAGGCCCTGTCGCCTCCTGAATGCAGCGGGGCAGGACCAGAGCAGGAAATACAGAAGGCGGGTGCTGCAGTGGAGCTGGGGCTGCCGAGGGAGACAGAGCGTCCAGGCCGCAGCTGGAGTAGGAGCCTTCAGAAGACTCTAGGTCCCAGCGCAGGGACCCTACAGATAGCAGCCTCCTGCTCTGTCTGCCTGGATCACTTCCCCAGCACGTCACACTTCCTCAGGGCCTGCAACGACCCAGGCCCAGCAGCCAGCCAGGGGCTCCTCTCGCTCTCCTGGGCTTGGCCTGCTGGAGACACAGATCTCACTCCTTGAGTTCCAAGAGGTGCCTGACTCTGCTGTGCAGCTCATTTTATACGTGCCCGATTGCCCTGATTGGCTGCTCCTCACAGCCCCTCTCCCATTGGCTGCTTCCTGTGCAGTCTCTCTAGGACTCCATTAACCCCTTGTCTGCCCGTGGGGGTGCAGATGCCCCATCACAGGAAGGAGCGCCCCCTTCTGGTAGAGATAGGAATCAACATGACAGCAGCTGGAGGCTGTGGGTGTGATAGACCTCCCGTGGGTACTCTCTTCTTTTCTCTGTAGTCAGGATCCCGGTTGAGAGGCTGGGTGCAGAGATGTGGTTGCTAAACCCCCCCAGCCGGACCCCCGTGCTGAGAAGAGAGAACGTTCCAAGGGCGTCGCTTTTAACATTTCCCTCGCGTGTCCTTTCTCTGGAGCACCCGGCCAGCTCCTCCCCAAAAATGCAATTATCAGAACGCTTGTTTTGCCCTGCCCCGAACGGCTCTTGCCCTCTGGTGAATTTTGCATTGTGCCCCACATGTTGGCAACTCATCTGACGAACAATAAAACATGCTAGGGGTGGGCTTTCTTTTTTTTTTTTGGTTATTATTTTATTTTCGATGACTTTTTCCACTGGGGGCTCCCTCGTCAGGGCTGCCCACAGAACAGAGTGCATATGCATATGAGCCACAGACCGAGGGAACGAAAGCGAGCAGGCTGCTGATGCCTTCGCTTGACAGCTAATTTCCATTTTCCCAGTATCAGGGGGTCTGTTCCAATAATTGGCATGCAGATTGTGTCTGATGGGCCTGTTATACAGAAGAAAAGAGTCTGCTAGTTAGAATAAGCCAACCCCAGGCTGATGGATGGGGCGTAAGGAGGTCAAATGAGAATATATATAAACGTGCACACACACATATTTCATACCTTCCCCCTCCTAGTTCTTTATCCTGCAAACTCTAATCTATCATATTTCATTGAGATGAATCCTTCCCAGTTTTTCTCTCTCTTTCCTTTTTTTCCCTTGAAGGGATATTTCACAGAAGCTGCTCTTGACTTTCAGAGTCAAATGCGGGAGGAGAGGGGGGTTGAAGAAATTAACGTAGTGCCACGGTTCATTAAAAGTTTGGGATCAGCCAGAACTGGCCTGCGTGTTAATTACACTTCCGGAATTAATTGGTGTGAGGCTTTTCTCTCTTCCATCTTCCTTGCTCTGCTGGGGGCATGGGACGGTCTAGCCGAAGTCATAACACATCTTTGCTGCCTCTCTTTGGTCTAAGTCGGTATCATTCCTGTGTGTTCTCATGGGAGAATTCTCGATGGCTTTGGTGGTGTGTATCAGCCACCGGCATTACGTTTTTCCACAAAACGGTTCCTTTCTGCCCCCCCGCCCCCGCCCAGCTGGAATTCTCCCACAAACTGCACATCGCACTGCGTTCCAGCCTGGGCAATATTCTTCCCCCTGGAACGCTGCTGGAATGAGCCCCACCTCTTGGGATATCTGTGTGTGCAACAGCCAGATACTAGAGCAAACTAAGGCGTTTCCTGAAGTCTCCATGCTGGGAGTGTGTGTGGGGGTGCACATTACCCCCCTGAAAACCCACACGAGAATGCTGGTGACCTCGGCGTGCTTTGCTCTTTAATCCCTAAAGGGTTAAGTTGGTCTCAGGAGTTGCTCGGAATCAACACCTTGCCCTCAGAGTCACGGGTCAGCCAATGAAAAGCGTCCCCATGGTTTGCTCTTGCCCGCCATTGGCCGAATGGATTGCCACTCAGGATCCCCGTGGAGAGCAGAGAAGGTCAAGAAGCTAGAGTAGGCCTCGTGTCCATCGCTCGGCTGCACTGCGGAACAGGAATTGCTGAATTGTGGGTTCCGAGTCTACACGGCCTTATAGGGGCTTGAGTCTAACCACCCACGTCTCCAGTTCCTGTCTGCACTACTTCAAGGACCAGTCTGCAGGAAGGCAAACTAGGCCACCGGAGAGGGTCCTAGCCTCAACCCCCGTGAATTTCCCTTGCCACCCGCCAGAAACGTCAGCTGCATGCCGCTGGGTTGGGGTGATTCCTGGTTCCCTAATGGGACCCACGGAACTTCCTGATTTATACTGGGACGTTGTTGTGCGGATAAGAACTCTTGGACAGCCCTGGGAAGGATTTTAAGGCTCCTTCTACACCCGGTGGCATTGCTACAAGATATGCAGAGCCCTCGACCTGGCTGAACTTCCACAAAAACTGCCCCTTTCGTGCAGCTTGCAGGATTAGGGCCGAAAACAGGGTTTGAAAAAGAACTAGAGACATTCACGGAGGTTTGGTCCATCAATAGCTATTAGCCAGGATGGGCAGGGTGGACTACTCGCCCTTTGTTTGTGGTGCACATGGGCGGTGGGTGAACATAGGGTAGGAGGAGGCAAGCCCCCAATCCCACCCCTTCTTCCTGAGGCCCCGTCCCTATGGGAGCCAAGCCCCGCCCCACCTCAGCCTTCAGTCCCCCATGAGAGCCTCCCTGGTCCCAGAGCAGAAGGACTCCGGGGAGGACACACTGCCCCGGCATCTCCAGCTGAAGCCCAGGGGCAGCCAAACTCCGCCCCCAGAGTGTTCTGGGGGCGGAGCGTGGGCGGGGCCATCCCCTGCAGAGGGCAAAGAAAGGCAGCCGGCGGGATCGTGGGACACTTTTGGAGAACTCCCAGAGCGGGAAGCCGGGGGAGCTGTGTCTGCACTGCAAAGCCAC